TCCCACACACACATCTCCCCCCCCCCCCGAATTGCCAAGACCATGAAGAGAGAGAGACCTAATTATCTTGTTAGAAAACTAATTCTCTCTTTCTAAGCCCATCAGTCTGAGAGTGTAAATGTTAAGTTTCTATGTTGCTTATAATGTAAATGCATTGAGTCTCATTTTTTATTTGTTGAAGGACATATTGTGCTATGTACATCATAACGGGATTATATTTGTCAATTCTCCTCAGTAAATATTTTTATATAGTCATTTGGGTTATGAATAACTTCAGTGAGACATTTCTCGACATTCAACTTCATATTCTCACATTCCCAGAAACACCTTTCCCACAACCAAGCCAAGAAACCCCCTTAAGTACAGTGTTCCTGAACCATCCTAGACAGAAAAAGCACTACAAACATTGTCCAAGAGGAAATCATAAAGGACAGCGCTCATCCTATATTCTGTTAAGATTTTGAAGAAACTCATGGAAACAATCCACAGTTTAGGAGAATTAGACCATTAGATGGCTAGTCCACATTCATGAAATCCATCAACCCTATCAACATATATTGTACAAGGGCAGACTTGAGACAATCTGGGGCCTTCTCAAGAAGCAAGATTTACAATTTTTACATTGGGAACTTTTCAACAAAGATGATGACGAGCTTATCCACTCCAAAAGGAAAGGAGATAGAAAAAGGAAAAGCAGAAAACGATAGTGAAAGATGGGGGACCATGCATTGAGTATAGGAATTTCATGGCACCATAAGCTGAATAATAAATAACTTGCAGCAATAGTAGGCTTGTAGGAACAGTCAGAAAAAATCTAAAAAACAACACGAAAAAAGGATTTGAGAAATTACCACATCCAAATTTGTGATAAGGATGATCTCGGGCACTTAGGTGCCTCTCAAGCTGCAATAACACAATACTTGTACTAATCAGCACAGGCCACAATCTATCATACAGATCTACCATATATAGGAAAAAAGGATGACTAAGTTTCAGCAAAAACAACAAATAGGATAATAGCTTCAGCCGTAGATAGAATGGTGAAGCAATTTCAAAATGCTTCAAAAATATAACAAATCAAAAAGATATAGTAGATCAGGGCAACAATTGCAGGCACAACCTTCAGAGTTTAGACAAAATCCTTGAAATATCAGGATTTACTTCTAAATTTTTATGTTTGGTTCCACCCAGTAGCCCTTTTAGAGGGTGATCACCATGACAATTTGAGGTCACATGTTTCACACCTAGGATACCAAATTAAAACAAAAGAAAAAAAGTGATGCACTATATCATTTCCATCTCTCATTTATGATCCCCAAAGTGCATTAATCAGCACCATTGCCAATACATCTTGATCAATTGATGATGCCAATCTGCAAGCTCTGTTAACTTTACTTATGCTGACAAGGTCTTGCACTTGGAACACAAAAATGAGGAAAATGAGAGAAAACAAGAGAGAAAAGAGGCAGTACACTAGGATTTTGGCATGAAAAGACCTGGGCAATAGAGGCGCGCCCAGGAAAATGAATACTTATATAAATATAAGTGGTGTTACATTAGGGAAACAACTTTACGAAAATTCCGTTATATAAACACATATTCCCAAATATAAGAATATACAAAAAACACCTTCCAACATAAAAACCTTCCAAAACTTTCAACAACAAAACAAACCTTCCAATACTTCTAATAATCAAGTCGTACATCATGTTTAAACATATATGACTTGCTTCTTAGGTAATCATGCCTTTTAATTTTCTGTGCCAATGAATTTTCCTCCAGCCTCTTCAGCCTTTATCTTTTCTCGAATAAATGATAATCAATCTCAATTGTTTTGTCCCATCATGAAATATAGGGTTTGCAACAATTGCTAAAGCACCTTTTGTCACAGTAGATAAACGACCTGCCAACTTTATAACCCAACCAAGATATAAGAAAACAGACCATGTAATCTCGGCCACCATTCCAACAAGAGCTTTGTATTCCGCTTCCATACATTATCTAGCAACCGTTTTCTATTTTCTGCTCCTCCAGGATATTAAATTATCTCCCAGAAAAACACAATAACCTGAAACTGTTTTTCAAGAATCACGATCTCCTGCCAATGAAAATCCAATTACAGACCCCAAATCTATACTCACTTGTTTATTTTTCTTATACAACAAACCAAAATATCAATGGAACCTCTAACATACCTCATAATCGTTTTCAATGATTCCATGCGTAAAGTGGTTGGCACATGCATGTACTCATATCTAATTAACAGCATATGAAATATCGAGGCATTTAAGAATCAACTATTGTAATGCCCACTGGCTCTAACAGTGGACCTCCCAGTTCCACACATAATGTTCTATTTAAAGCTACTGGAGTGCGACAAGTTTTACAATCCAACAAATTGGCCTTTTCTAGCATATCTAAAGTATGTTTTCGCTATGAAAGGTGAATCTCATTAATAGAACGATCCACTTCAATTCCCAAGAAATACCTCAATTCTCCTAGGTCCTTCATTTGAAACCTTTCATTGAGGAACTTCTTCACTTCATTTATCATCCTCATTTTGCTTCTTCAAACAATAACGCCATCCACATATAATAAGATAATAACAGTGCTTTTCTCACCTATTCTCATCCACATAAATTGTTGGCTGATCAAATAAAACCTCTCCCCTTTAATGAATCATAAAAACTATGGAACCAGGACATGGATGCATGTTGGGGTTTGTGGCCTTTAAAGCCTATGAGAGTGTGAAATATAATATAGTGAATTGTAGACTTCAGTGGGATTGTATGATTGGTTGACTGACCCAGAGTTAGGTGGTCTATGGATCAAGTTATGTCCAAAACCCTTTCCCTTGACATAGGCACTACTGTTGAGGGTTTATGAAGGGTCATCCCTTGTGGAGGTTGGAGAGATGTCCAGGGATGGTTTGTAGGTCAGTAAAGCTTTGTGGTCTCCTGTGTGCAATTGTAGGCCTATGAGAGCCAGCCCAAAATCCTAAACAGATTTCTGCAAGTTATATATATACGATAATTGCATTCCGGGAAGCAACCCTGTAGAGAGACACGTGCATGTGCATAGAGACATCCCCCTTGCACTATAGGGATACGTGCATCTAACTAGCTTTTAGGCGGACCTATAATCCACATTATTGAATCGTGGTTCCATTGTTTACTGGCCAGCTTTGATGGGCTAAAAAAAAGCCATGCGTATGACTATGGATCATGGGTCCTATTGGGTTGGTTTGTGAAGATAGCTGTGGATCACAGTTTCTAGCTCAGGTGGAGTGCCCTAACAGTTATTTTTCTTGACCCATTGGTACCAATCCACTACTGGATGTATTTTTGAAAAAAATCAGATTTTTTTTAAGAACCTCAAAAATATATATAGTTTTCAGAAAAATTTAGAATTTTTTAAAAACTTATTTTTTGCTATATAAAAAAAATAGAAAGGACAAAACTAATATTTTATAATTTAGTAGAGGCCTAGTTTAGAGTTGGACCCATGTGGGTGGGCCAAGGGCCCAGCTCCCACATGTGCATAAGTCACATATGGGTGGGACGTGGGGTCCACAAGATCCAATACCAATGTAAAACTACCACATATTGTACTAGATATTCGCAGCCCCACCAACATAGCGAGCTAAGGACTGTTCTTTTCTTTCAACCATCACTACGAGCCATCAATTCATAAAATTCATCAGTATACTCCTCTACACTCTTTTCTCCCTAACAGAGATCTTATGATAGAGGGACATCAAATAATTTGCAGGTAGGTATATATCGTTTTATTTCTTTTTCATCTTCTCCCATGCATTAATTTTGGACTTCCCATTCTCTCTCTTCTAGCCCTAAGTTGTTCCCACCAATGCCGAGGCACCTCTTTTCAATTTTATAAAAACAATTTTTATCTTTTTAATTTTAGATACCTCCTTACAATCAAAAACCCTTTCTACCGTATTTAACCAATATATAAACTCCTATGGTTGAGGCTTACTATCACAATCGGGTATATCTACCTTCAAATCGACATCCCTAGAACAATGCACCCCACATCTAGGTCTATGGTTGCTATCCTCATCACTCGACTACCCACGTGGAGTGTGACGATGAAAAGGCTTATATATAAGACCTTCTGTGGTTAAAAGATCACCGTCTTATTCATTATTGAGACTCATGAACTGCTGCAGCAGTTGTTGAACTTGCATTTAAAATTCCTTAATTTCTTCATCTAAGGGATCATAAAGTGGATCTACAAAACCTCACCTCCCACGACCCCTTCTCTCCAAATGGGTTTGCCGAAATAATATACCCTTAGTAAAGGATCAAGAAGAAAAAAATGTAAAAATTAGCAAGATCCAAGTTGATTTGGCAAAACTTGGAATCAGCAAACCCTAGACCCCATTGTAACTTCCAAGCTTCAATGTTGAAGAAAACCCTAGCTCTAATACCAAATTGATGCAAGGAAAATTGAAGGAAACAGAAAAATCAACAAGGAACAAGCCAAACACAAGTACAAGTCGAAGAAACCTATAGTTTCTTGCCCATACGCTAAGCTAGGGTTCCAAAAGCCTAAACTCTTTCTTCGCTTTTAATTTCTAAAATGATGTGGAATGACCCACTCAAGGCCCCAGATACCTCTTATATATTATAATTCAATGTTCAAAAATATTGAATGATTATACAATAATTAAAATGATCCAAAAATTCCAACTAAAACCCGAAATTTGTAATGATAATTTTACTACCCCTATGAACAGTACCCATAAATAGTAACCTTCAACAGTACTCGTGAATAGTACTCATAAGGTAAAAAAAATTTAAAAGACCTTAATATCTTTACAAAACTCAAAAACCCCAAAAATAAACCCTAAAACTAAAATTAAAGTATACAACCTTTGAAATTATACAAATATTTTTTTGTGAAGCATTGAAATAAAACAAATTTTAAAAATAAGAATAATCTTACCCTCCATCACATTATCTACATGTGTAATGTCAAGGGAGGACCCATCACCAAATACCAGTTATAATAGAACCACTACCAGTAAAAGGATATGGAGGAAATATGAGATAGAAAGATTAGGGTGTTAGAAGGAAGGATGAGAATGATGAAAGAGAGTAAAGATGAAGAAAGCAATATTAGGGTTAGAAGAGGAAGAGATTGTGATTCTTCAAAGAGAAGGAAACATAGGCCATCTTGATTAGAACTGATTAGACTGAGAGCATACATAATCCAGTTATGATACCATGTTAAGCTTACTTATGCTAACAAAATCTTGCGACTGGAATACAAACAAGAGGAAGATGTGGGAGAGAAGACAAAGAGGCATATTGGGCTCTGGTGTGAACAAAATTGGGGTATTGTGGCAACCCTAGGATAGTGAGTCCTTATATTATGAATGGTGTTACATTAGGCCAGCAGCTTTATGAAAATGCCCTAGTACAAATACATATTTCCAAATACAAGAAAATTTAAAGTATACATAAAACAAGAAGATATCCACAAAACTAGTATTTAACACTTTGTTCCATAAATATGTAACTATTAGACCAGAAAAGAGGGTTAAGGAGAAGAATCGTCTATTTGGATATTTTGAACGGATCTTTGTATACAAACCCTGAGATAGAGTATGGGGTACTCTCAGTGTATCTTATTGCATACTATTAGAGGGCAATACAGCCGTTTAGGGTACTCCTCTCTTAAGGGATATTTTGGTTTTCCCTTATTCTTCCTTGTATATATAAGTTGTAAACTGCTTAAGTCATTAATAAGATCATTCTATCAGTTCTCTAGTATTATAGAGAATGTATCTCTTCTCAAAGTTGAGAGTCCCATCCATGAAACTGAAGATTAGACAGTGGAAAGGCACCCACATTTTCGCTCAGATCTGATATGAAGGAAACGCAGCACTCCTTAAATGTTATACAGGAATAATTGTGCTGATATAGAAAGTACCCATATAGTGTCTTGCATTCTCAATGAAAAATAACATACAAATTTTTGAAGCTCCAAACCATAACAGAATGGGACAAAAGCTGCCTAAGGAATATAAAGGCGCAGAATTCTTAAGGTGCAAACCAACAGAAATTGTATTCTATTGATCAAATTTATGATTGTTTTAAGGACCAATTCACAATTTTGACAAGAATGCATCTGCACATAGTTAAGAAGTGGAGGTATCGATAGAGCAAAAAGTATCAGAAAAAAGGAACAATAAAATCAGTTCTTCATACACCTTGGAAGCAGTTAATCGCACTTTGATAAAGTTCCTTAATGGGCTCTGCATTTTTATTTGAAGCTAGAACTACAAATGGTCTTCTGTTCCTAAGGTTAATGCTGGAATCTTAAGAACACATTCAGAATTCAATCACTGACCACATCATCCAAATAAGCAATATGCCGATTTCTTTTCAGAAGATTCATATAAAAAGAAATTAAAGAAAACACAAACCTGATCCATTCTGCAATAATCTGTCAATAGATTCTTTTGATGCTCTGAATAAGAAAAAACTAGGCTCAGAAAAAGAATGCAGAACAAAAATAAATATACGTTGATAGCGAAACAATGAAATTCTCACAGCAAAAGGTGCATCAAGTACCAGAGTCAACCGCATTAATTTCCCTCATTGTGGCATCAGGAGACATCAAGGGTTTGACAAAGAACTGAGCAAATCTGGTCCCATCCGTCCCCAAAAAAAATAATAGAAGCAGCAAAGAAGCGTAACAAGTTCAAGGATATAAAAAATAATACAATAAATGCCAATTGAAGTAGAGATGGTAGCTTAGAAAATAAATCATAGAATAACCAAATATTTCCATACCTATCGAGTGCCTCCTCAAAATATTCAGTCATAACATCAAAGTGAAAATTTGTATGCTCATCATCGGTGAAAGCATTTGTGTAACCGCCATGCTGAACACCTCTCATGTCAAAAAGTAATGGAGATTCAGATGATTACCCACATGGGTTACAATATACACAACATACCAAGGTTAAAAAACAGACTTTTGCTCATGGCCAAAGAGATAATAGACTCTGCAATGATCATTACTACAGGCAAAGCATCAAAGCATTGCAACAAGGCACCAATATTGATCAACTGAAACTCAGCCCAAATGTCAACAAACTATCATTTTGTTATCCATGGGCAGATTGCCAATGTTTGCTCGGGCCTTGGCTTGAGCAAGTCAGCCGGGCGAATCCCAATTGACTTGCCGAGTTTGCCCTGAGTTTGCCAGAAACGCAGGAAAAATTGTAAAAAATAGAAATTAATGGAATATCATAAAAAATACAAACTTTCAGAAAAAATAAAAAAGGAATATAAAAAGTGCGCATTATGGAAAATTGAACTTAGGCATATAAAAAAATTCATTAAAACCTATATAAAATCAATTATATGAATTTACATTAAAAAATGAAGTTTGCAAAAAATTATGAGGCCAATCCTCAAATCTTTGCCTTTTTTTGTGGGTATTGATGCCTCCAATCCTTTCCAAGGTGGGCTTAAACACCCAAACCAAAACCGCCAAAACAAGATTGGGGTTCAGGTCCGGGTCTAGTTGATCTGAGCTCATGAAATTTTCAGATGAACAACAAATCTAAAATACAAAAGTAGAAATCTGTGATTTATAATCATTTCTTATAAGAAACAAGCCTATGATTTGATGAAGAACCTAAAAATAGGCCTGGTAAACAACCTTCATGCAAGATCAACCAATAGTTGTGAAGAAATCGCAACTTTCCAAATTACACCAAAACCTAGATTGAATTGTTTTTCTCTCTCTCAAATCCGTAAAATCTGAAGTTTTTTTTCCTCGGAGCTAACAGATCATGCAGAAAATGAGCAGAAACATGAAATTTGGGCTCTATCCAAGAGAAAAGTGAAAAAAGGGGCATTGGATTTCCACTCTTTATATTTCAGAAATATTATTGATCTTGACTTGCCAAGTTAGCCAAAGAACTCCCTGAGTTCTGCAGCAAATTGCACGAGTTGCTACAGTATCTGGCCCCAGCCCCTGAGTTGGGAGGTCGTGGGCAAGGTGCCGAGCCCGAGTGGACTCACTGAGTTTTCTAACACTGATATATAAAAACACCATTATGAATATCATGTATAATTATTGAAAGAATGATTGAAAAAAAAAGTCCCCTTCAACTACATATTTCATCAATTTATTGAAACCATAGATTTAAAAAAAAAAAAAAAAAAAAAAAGAAAACAAAAAACAAAAAACAAAAGGAGTGCTCTTCAAGTACATAATTCATCAGTGAGCAAGATTTTGGGATATTTTCTGGACAGCAGACTGTTTCTCAGGTTGTGCCTTATAGGATTTTGTTAGTAGTAATTGACCTTGTGGTGAAGGAGACCAGTTAAACAAAAGGACTGACCAGAAAGAGGCCCAAGGACATTGCACCCAAACACCAAATATGAGGTGGCGATAGGTTAAGTAACCAGTCTAAATGGGACATTTGGGATTGGGTTATTAGCAAAATAGTTTCCATAAGGAATATAATTTAATGTTATCCATTTGAATACCTCTAAAGATGTTTGAGGCCATTGCCCCAAGGATGACACTCATAAGTTAAGGGAGACTTTCTTGAAAGAATAACTACAACAAGATGATGAAGTCCACAAGAAACCAAATTCTATTACCAGCCAGGGAGGGCCGATTAACTAATCGATCAATTAATGATCTGGGGACTGGGATATACAAGGTAAGGGGTCTATAAAGTATAACCACCAATGTTTTAGGTGACATCTAGTTCATACCTCCAGTGTATTGCATTTCATTTGATGAAGTTCTCATTTCTCAGGTCGTGTTAATCAAACAAAAAGGTCAAACTAGCAGTTCAAGAAAATAGTGACTATTACAATAAAAGACAATGGGCTATCGCCCACATCTTAACTCATGTAATTCACAAAAACATGGTTTGCAAAGAGCAAGTCATAGTAGAATAAAGAATTACATTTTTCCATTTGATTTTAAAGATAATGTGATATAAGAAGGAAACAAGCATTCTTAATGGGTATTGCAAAAAGGAGATGTGTGATGATTATTTGCAAGCAAACAAGGGAAATATGATCTAGAGCCTCAAACTGAATATTATGAGTTTAAAACACACAAGCTAAAATGATTTGAGTTGAGATTGCATATTGAATTTTAAAAATTAAATAAATAAATAAACCAAACAATTATCAGAAGAAGATGTTGGAAATAAGATGTTGCATAAACTCTACCTTCAAAGCCCAATTGATAGTCTATTTGAATTGTTGGGGTTATGTGGCCATGTAAAGGCCTTATGAGAGCATGTACTGAAAGTATATAGTGAAATATTGGCTCCAGTGGGAATGTGGTCCACTTTGGACTATGAGGAATTATTGATGCCTAGACTCACCTGAGCTTTGACTGGCTATGGCTCAATATGATGTCTAAAACCCGTAGTTCTAGGCATTATGTGAGCACAACTGATGATGGTATCAAATATTCAAATATACCCAACAATACATTTGAAAGTGCTACAAGACCATCATGCACATGAGTGCAAATAGACCACATTCACACACTAAGGTTTTAAATTTCATTATGGCAAATCAAGAATGGTGACACTGATTAGAAAGGCTCAGCGATGCCCCAAGTAAATTGTGATATAAAATGAAAAAGAAAATTAGAAGAGTAAGAAAAGACCCAGACAGATTCCCATAGATCCATTGAGACAGGTCTAGAGATACAGCATTTTTTGAATTATTTCACAGTTAGAAGCTAAAAAGCACTTTTGTGGTTTCTGGTGCTCTTCAACCAAACTCAAAGGTAGGGCAATGAGGGATTCCTTGGGCACTCCGCCACCCAAGCTTTAAGCAAGATCGATATAAACTTAAAGTCTTAAACTGAAAAAGAAAAAAAAATACCGCAAAAGCTACTCAAGACCTTTAGTAGTGGCCATCTGTCAGAGTTCCTTCACCATATTTTAGAGATGACTTTAATTTTTCCATAGTCTCTGTTTGTTTATTTTTGGAAGTTCAATGGTAGGATCAAACTTGTGATGTGGTTTCGCAAATATTAACACCTTAACCAATCAAGCCCAAGGTGATTCCAAACCATGGTATCTGTTATCATCGTTTAATAGCATAGAAACTCCGAATAACTCATTTATTAGTAATTAGTTCCTTATTAGCATTGAGACAACATAAATATAAACAAGACACTAATAACTTACTTTTATTTAAGGAATGAATACACCAATAACTTACTTTTATTTAAGGAATGAATTATGAGTGGAAAATCTGTATATGCCTATATTCTGCTTGTTTAAACATGTAAATGCAAATGTAAAAGAATTGAGAAACTGGTTTAGAATTACCAATCTGTTCCTATTTTTACCATTCAAAACTGCATAATTCTTCTTATTATGGTTTTCTATTCACTATTGTATGCATCTGTATGATTTTTGTGAGCAGTTGGAAAAAGTGCTGATCTCAGCTGAGTCCGTCTTTGAAAGGGGGGACAAGCACACAAAAATTAGTAAAAATGACACATAGAGAAAGAAAGGGTTATGCTTGAGGCAAACAAAGTCAACCACAGTCTAAGGATCATATTTATATAATGCTGTTAGCATACCAGAATTCAAGACAAATAAAAAAAAAATCTGATACACATATGAAGGCATACTAAAGAGTACCTCTGCTATGTACTTCGAATAGCTATCTTCCTGTGGATACTTCTCACTGGCATAAAATAACATATGCTCTGTAATTAAACACAAGAACACATTTCTATAGATTAATATCATACTTTGGAGATCTGATTTAGCAACTTAGCTGATAACATAAGTGATTCATCTTAGGACATTACATTCTAAGAAAAAGAGTTAAGATTTTCACTTCATATTAGGACAGGTAAAAAGATGGCATTCAACATAGTCTAGCCATGATATTCCAGAATAACAACAAACCTTCAGTATGAAGTGACATGTATCCATAGTAACATGTTACTACTTTAAATGACTAAGGTCCTGTTTGCATGTGCCAATAAGCTGCCTGCACAAGTCAGGCTTTCTGATGGAAGCAGAGCACGTTTCCAAAATAATGGCACTATTGTAGATATGTGCCTTATTGTGCACAAAATCGGAGGCATATTGATCATATGTGCAGCAAGAAAGTTGGCACTGAACAGCGCGCATGTATAAGGCCACTTTTATGGCACTTAGACGGCAACCAAAAACAGCGTAAGTATAGTAACATAAACAGACTGATGAAAGATGAATGCAAGTGGGGGAAAATGCAAGAAATCCTCCAAACTTTATTAGAACAAATGAAGTTACAAAACCATTTTTTATCAATTGCATATACAGTAGCATGTGACTGAATGACATTAAGCTGTTACAGAATGGCCTTATGCACATAGTGTGGTAGCAAAAAATACAGCAAAACAACTTCTCCTGTCTATCCATTAAGAAGAGAATATTGAAAAAACAACTAGCAGATGGTCTTTGCTGGCAGCCATCTATCAAATAATGAATAGTGACAGATCTCAATCACATATTTAACAAACTATCTCCAAAACAAAGACAAAAAAACGAAAGGTCCCCAAATCGAGGACCCAATAAACAGAATCTCGAGAAAAGGAATTAAAATTGGCTAGTGTCCACGCATCTGAAAAATCATACTAAAAGATTGACATGCAGTAATGAACAAAGTCACATCAAATCTTCAACTCATGCTGTCACTTACCAAGAAAGTGAGCCAAACCTTCAAGACCCTCAGGATCACTAAATGATCCTACTCTAACACCCATTGAAGCAGCACACTAATCAACAAAAACAAACAATAAGTTATACATAGGAGATGACAAGTCAAAAGCATACATAGGAGATGACAGATCACAACAAATCACATAAGGCATTTTTGTAGCCAATAGACTACACAAGCACTTCATTTGGAATTTGAACAAAAGAGTGAACCAAAATGTGGACAATAATTGAGACGGGAGTACTCTTTGCAGCAGTATAGCAACCATGAAATATGTATTACTTGTTATAGCATCAATATATTCTTTTGCATGATCAGAGTTAGCAAACAAGAGGGGACAAAAGGACCAATACATGTGATCAACAATTTTCTTGTTCTACAAGATTCTATGACAGCACCTTCGTAATTATGTCAGTTCCTTCATTAACATGCCATTATCCAAATACTTGTATTTGTGTTTGCAAAGGATTTGAGAAGTTTATATTAAAAAAGGAGGCCAATGAATGCTACGCGTATTTCATGGGGATTATCAATAAATATAACCTTCCATGTTTTGGTGAAAACTTCAGATGATGAACCATACACAGCATTCCAATTTTCCTCAGACAATGATAGATATTAGAAGCTATAAAAGCTAATGATTAAACAATAAGTCATAATCAAAGGCAGGACCAAAATACTACATAATAATCCATACATTTTATTCACAACAAGCAATCAAGAAAAAAAAATTCCTTTGGAAGTTCAATGAGAATCAATTCAAAGAGTGCTCACTCTTCATGAATATATCAAAGCTTCAGCTGATAATCAACCAACCATAAAATAAAACCCAATTGTGTTTTTCAGAAGAAATCACTTCATTCTTATGAAATAAATTCGAAAAGCCCTATCATTATTCAAGGGCTCCCCATTTCAAATACACAATCAAAACTCAAAAACTTCAGAAAATTACCGTCCAAACTCAAAGCCAGTAATAAAATAAAATAATAAGAACAAAGGAAGAACGAGAGAATAAGGAAAACTATTCTGAGTAATTGCTTCACAAAGAATAACTAACCAAAAAATGAAGAAATTTGAAGAAAAAGTAGTTCTCAAACAATTTTAAGAGAAAAAATGAAAATAAGAGCGTGGAAATCGACATAGGGAAAATACTACATAATTTTCATGAAATTGGGTTTAATGGTGGGAAATTGACCTTGTCAGTGTCTGGATCACTGATAAGGAGCACTTCTAAGGAGTTCGAGAGAACAATCCTCCTAAACTCTCTCTTATCAATGCGAGGCTTCAAAATTTCAACTCTTTCATTTCCTCTCAAATCTCCTCCATTAATCGAGCGCTCCATTTTTTCTCAAATTTGGTTGCAGAATGCGGATAAGAAGCTTGTTTAGAGTTTAGAGAGAAACCAGGCCCCAGGCGTCGTCATATATCTACTCACAAACACAGAGCGGGGAAGTTTGAATTTTCTTTACCCACTGACAGGGCAATTCTTTATGCCAAATGATTTCAAGCTTCCGAGGGAGTATACTGTCTATTTACCTTTTCAGGGAGAATACAATTTAGGAATATTTTTTTCAAATTTTAAATTTTGATATTATAATCTATTCAACACCTACACGAAATACTCCATAAAAAATAAAAAATAAAAAAATCAGTTTGCATTCTTTATAGCTTGAATAATGCCTCAAGATTTATTAAAACCATCGTGTCTTTTAAGAGTAAGATCTAACTATTCAAAAATGAAATTTCAAATTTTTTATTTTGAATATAATTATCTACTAATTTTTTGGTAGTTATCAAAATTTTGGATAAAAATATCTTTCCAAACTGTCTCCTTTCCAAGGAAGTAATCTCACAGTATACTCCCACGGGAGCATTATATACACGCTCATTATTTATTGGTCCACTGAGGGATTGCGGTATATACTTTCCCGTACTGTAAATTGTATTGGAGGGAGCACTCTTCATTCCTTGGAAGGAAGCAGTTTCTATGAGGCGTAGGCCTTATGAAAACAAAGAAAAGTCTCACCAAGAACCCTCATTCGGAAAGCATTTTGCGTATTTTAAATTTATATAGTAGTTCTAAAATCAATTTTTAACATTAATTATAAAATTAAAAACTCAAAAAATGCTACAGATCTTGCATATATATAAACCCTCATTTTTAAGTTGAAATAGATGGTCTACATAATGTGTTATCATATATACTATTTTAGGGTTTGAAATCCTAATTTTTTTTACAACCGTAATGGTCAAACTGAGATGATCGATTTTAAAGTTTTTTAATCCCAAAGCCACTATCTTCAGTAAGTTTTGATTTAAGGTTTTCTAATCCCAGAGCTACAATCTTCCGTAAGTTTTGATGTGAGGATTTACTTATTTTAAGTACAGCTCTATCCAAACATCTTCCTTCTTTAAATAAAGAAATACTTTTTCACCTAACCCACTTCCGCTTAAATAGAGAATGTGTCCAATCACGGCCTTGTGGAGAGGAAAAAACTAGAGGAGAAAAAAAAAAAACTAAAAAGGAGAAAAAATCTCTCTCTCACCCCTAACAGAAAAAGTCTATATAGAGCTGGGGCTCTAAACAATCAAATTAAACTTCATCTCAAAAATTTCATCAAAAGAAGTTGTTTTGATGCCCAAATATCTTCAAATTGATCATCTCGACATTTAGATGAATAGACATGAGAAAAAACATATTTCAAGTTTTAGAAATAATGCATCTTATAACGTATGTTTGGGCCTTTAATTTTCAAGATTTTTAAGTTTCCAGATGTCTACTCGATCTATATTATTTTTTAAACTTTAAATTTTATAATAAAATATGAAAATATATTTTAATGCTATCACAAAGATTTTTAGTATTGAAACCACATTTCTCGATACTATTTGAAGATGCACTTTACTTTGATTGTTTAGAGCCTCGGCTCCATACAAACGGCGCCCTAAAGTTATGTAATATTTACCCTTTTTTAACATTTTGATTGGAAAATTTACCAAAAAATTATTTAACTATTAGAATCTAAAAATAGCATCCTATATTTGATATTCTATGTATATAAAATAAAGTGACAAAAATATCTATACAAATTTTAGAGGCATTTTGGTCATTTCATTTTAATTATTTTTTTATTTTATACAATTATATAATGGATAAAATATAGACGCCAACTTACTGCCATATAAAAAAAATAGGACAAATATATAAAGAGACCATTTATTTTTAGTACAAGGAGGTCACAATTAGTTTTATTTGTTAGATTTCAAATCAAGTAGTTGCATGAGTGTCAATTTAAAGTTAAAAATAAAAATATAAAATCTCAAACTTTTTGACACATGTTAAACCATCCAATTTGACATCTAATGACTAGGAGTGACCGTGACCGCTTTGTAACAAAAATAAATGATCTCATTGTATACAACTAAAAAATAAAATAAAATAAAATAAATTGTCAATTAAAAAGTAAGACTCCTAACATAAATAATAAAACAAATATTTTTTATTTTCACTATAATAATAAAATAATATTGTTCTATAAATCTCTCAGACGTTTTAAGATTCATGCATGATCAACCAGATGATATGTATCTGTAATTTGTAATGTGTTTCTCTTTGCTAAAAAATAATAAATAATAATAACATGTTTCTCACCCACCCAGGAAAGAAGGTGCCCCCAGGTGAAGAAAAACGGATGGTTCTCACCTCTTTCGAAGACGACTTGTACGTGAGATGGTGACCTTTCGAAGACGACTTTGACTTGAGATGGTGACCAGGCTCGTCCATTGCAGCACTCTACGAGAGGGAAGAAAAATGTCCGAGGGGACCCCCAAGAGCAAATTGTTCATTTGATCCCTCGGGCAAGAGGCCCACCAAGAAGGATGCCTGCTTTCGATCTGAAGTAGTATTTAGGAACTTGCCTAGGCCAAAAGATTCGACCGAGGCTAAGTAGTTACTCGCTTGAGTCCTGTGCAATGCCAAAAAGCCCTAGTAAAATTTAAAAATAAGAAATCTAAAAAACAAAATAAAGGTCTTAAAGTAAAATAAAAGCAAAAGAAACCTTAAAATTTTAAATAAGCTTAAAAGGGTACACACAAATTGGAATAAGAAAAACTGATTTATAGTTTGGGAATATTTCAAATATATATATATATATATATATATATATATGATGCGTTTGTATTATAGGGTGCTGTTTGTATAGAGCCGATGATCTAAATAAGTAAATTAGAGCCTACCTTCAAATAGTGTCGAGAAATGTGGTCTCAATATTGGAGAATTTTGTGATAGCTTTAAATTATATTTTCATATTTAGTTACAAATTTAAATCTTCAAAAATAGTGTAGATCGAGCAGCTCTATGAAAAGTTTAAAATCTTTAAAATTGACGATCCAAAAATGCGTTACAAGATACACTATTTCTAAAACTTGAAATCCATTTTTTTTCATGTCCATGCATCTTGATGTTGAGATGATCAATTTGATGATATTTGAGCATCGAAACAACCTCTTCTAGTTAGGCTCTAAACGATCAAATTAGAGCCTACTTCAAATTAAGAGAAGTATTGTTTTTTTACTAAAATGCCCCCATTTGACCAATATTTACAAAACTTTTTTTTTTTTTCTTTTTTTTTCTTTGTGTTGGAACGAAAATGAAGTCATTCCGATGCGATAGAAAAAGTGGGTTGGACCAGTCTGGCACATTGATTTCATAGTGCAATGGGACCGAAAAATGAGTATGATCCAATACAAAAAATGTGCCAGACCAGCACTATGCAAACATGAGTATAAGGCACGCAGAGAGTGGTATTTTGATCGTTATAACCGGGAAAAAAGCACAAAAGAAAACAATACTGGTTTTTTTAGTGTTTTAAAAAATTGTTGGGAAAAGGATGTTAAGAAAGTTGAGTACAATGAAGTTTTAAATAATTTTCCTTAAACTTGATCACGTGTAGTTGAAGAAGCAACATGCCAACAACAAATACACATAATAAATTAAGGGCTAGGAATCTACTGGGGGAGTGGTTCCACTTAGTCAAGTTGGACGTCTAATGGCAGAGGTGAAGCTACATAAACTCAATGCATTTGTAGTACAGAATGTATATAGACGGCCAGCCCGCATATTGTAGAAATGTGGGCTTGGCAATAAATATATTTTTTAAATATAATTTGATCCCAATTTTTAGAGAATATGTATTCTTTAACATGAAGATTGTGAATATAAAAAAAAAAAAAATTTGAAAACTAAAAATAACAATTCTATTAAGAAAGTATTTGGACTGTTGTTTACAATTGTTTTTAGATCTACCACCTAGTTGCATCCATCTTTAAGATAGATGCTTTATATCTGTGGACCACATATTGAAGAAATGCAGTGCGGTCCAGCCTGTATAAAACAATTCTTTTTTAAAAAACTACAAACCCCGATAATTTTTTATCCTTTTTTATTGGTCATGCAAAGTAAAAAAAATGACTTTATTTTGTTTGTTGGTGTAAGAGAGAGTGGGTTTCCAAATTTCCAACTCATGTGACTCATCCTCCAACCACTATCGTTGATGGCCTTTGATTGATTTTACAGTCAACTCGTAATTGTTTTCTTTTCTTTTTATTTGAATGGGGTTAAGTTCCTAGTGATAGCACCACCGTCTACATTTCCAATTCCACGCGTACGGCATTCGAATTCCACGAGAAAATTGCATAAAACGCGAACTTTCTAATAAATTTACCCCAACCTAATTTTTTTTAGCAACTTTTTTTTAGCAAATACCCCCAATACAAAAAGTTTTTATTTTTACTTAACAAATCATTTTAATTGGAGAGAGTGGCACTGGCGTTTGGAAGAGGCGGTTCAGTTATTATTTTGCTGGATTGAACTGTCTGTTGTTTCATTGTAGCGGTCCGGAGATTATGCTAAGCATTTTGAAAATGTGGTCCAGCATTTTGAAGGGACAGTCTGGCGTTTTGAAGTAGCAGTACGATATTTTGAAGATGCAGTATGGCGTTTTAAAGTGGCGGTCCGACGTTTTGAAATGAGTAATCTGGCGTTTTGAAATAAACGTCAGGCATTGTACAAGTGTGGTCAGGCGTTGTACAAATGCGGACCTGCATTTCCTTTTATTGGGATCCGAAAATGATTTGTTATATACGGAAAGGGTATTTTCATCAATAAAATCAATTTTTTGTATTGAGGGGTATTTGCTAAGAAACATGGCTTTTAGGGAGAAGTTGCTAGGAAAAGTTCGGAGGGTAAATTGATTAGAAAGCACATGGGTTTTATGCAATTTTCCCTATTTTAAAAATGGGTACGACCAGCAATCTTTTTGATCCACCCAAAAAAAAGAAAATCATAATTATTTCACCATACCGTAATGAGTTGGCATCAATATCTAATTTTCCACTAATAATGTCCT